ACTACTCCTACTGCCATTGTAGAAGACGCTTAAGACTAGTGGCACACAGAAAAACTTAAGCAGTAAAACGTAAGCAGTAAGTAAATTGACCAATGACAGTCATTGATTCTTCTTACGGCCCAAGAATCAACGACTGTGATTGGTCAATTTGCTTACTGATTAAGTTTTTCTGTGTACCACGGCTCTAAGCCAATACGATTAGACCTGTGCTGGGATTCTGTAACTCGTTATTGGAGTTAACGACAGTTTCGTTATCGTTGAGCAGTTTTTCTACGGTATACAAAAGCTGCGCAACGATAACGAAACTATCGTTAACTTCAATAACGAGTTACAGAATAGGGCTACTGATGTCTTACCGAAACTAACCTCATACACACACACACACAACGTTATACACACTTTCCATATTTATTTTTCTTATTTATTATCAATTACTCAGTTTCTTTAATACATTTCCAGTGAGAAATGACTTGTCGATCGACGTCGAAAAGACGTCGCTATGTTTATATGTATATATGTTTACATTTTGTCGCCACGCTTGCGCATTGCGATTATAGAACACTCTTTTCTAGTGAGCCAATTACTGTCCATCTTCTATCCTTCAGTCTTCTTTCACTCTCTCTTATAGCAAAAATTCCTCTACGCGCCATATAGTAGTATTACATATATGAGTAGGACGCAGCGGATTTATCTCCATTCTCCTGCATGTGCTACTACTCGCTCAGCTGATCGCCACGTCATTCGGTTCATTCATGCGTGTAAAGCTGGCCACACACACTTTTCGTAACAGTAATCGTAAGACGTAACGTAAGAATTGATCAATTACGATCGAGTATTCATAAAAATGGCGACCTTACGATTCGAGGATTCTTAACATGATGGGTCAATTCTTACGTTACGTCTTACGATTACTTTTACGAAAAATGTGTGTGGCCAGCTTAACCGATGTAAACACGCGCCACTGTCGCCTAACCCAATGACGTATATACATAGACCAAGCATTCTGTCCGCAAAGTGAAGCCGGAAGTTGGCAGTTTAAAACAGAGTGAGAAAATTGATTTGCCCATAGTGCTTTTTTACTCTAACTTATTGACTGTCAAGAAGGAGGATCCGTACACTGAAAATACTTTAAAACATTAAATAAAGCAATAGGATCGATCCATTCGTCGCTCTGAAGCACTTACAGCACTAAATGGAACTATTTACAGCACTAAATCTTATCCAAGAACTGTATCCCGTCATAACAACCTAACATTTTCATTTGACAGTGGAATAAGAACAGGATAAGAGCAATTGCTGTGATTATTTGTACACAGCATAAAATATTATAAATATTTATAATTTTATATCGAGATAAGTGAAATATACGGTTTTATTCTTTTAATTCTGCATTGCATTATATACTATATAGTACTTGACAGCTTGACAGCGGCCACATTCTTTCTATACGATAGAATGAAAAGGCACTAGGGACAAATCAACTTTCTCACTTTGTTTTAAACTGCCAACTTCCGGCTTCACTCGCTGCTACAGTAGATGTATAGGAATGCTTGGTCTATGTATATACATCATTGGCCTAACCACTGTTTGGCGAGCGCGTCAAAAGTTTAAAGGGCGATGACTCGCGAACGAATGGATGTAGACACATGAGACAAAAAGCGATTTTCCTAGTGATCTCGCGCACGTTCATATTTGAGTTACAAAAATATCGATTAAATTTTTTCTTAATTTAACAGTTGATTTAAACCAATATTATGTTTTATGTCAACTAATAGACGATTGATTCGGACAAAATCAATCGAAAAATGTTTAATTGACGATTGATACGATTCAACGAATTCAATAAAAGACTGTTCAAGTGACGATTGATATGAGCGAAGGCTACTAAAAGGCATTCAATTGACAATTGAACGCTCTTTATCTCCTTTCGCTCATATCAATCATCAATTGAATGATCTGTAATCGAATTCAATAAAGTGAACCGTTAATTGAACGGTTCCTCCCTTGAATTTGTTGAAATCAATTGTCAATTAAACGGTCTCTAATTGAATTGATTTATATTAATCGTCAATTGAACATGATAATTAATTAAAAATGTAATTACTCACAATCTTGATTATTTCTACATTTGAGTACATATACAATGGCATTCTCAACAAAGAGATGAATTAAAAAAAAACTTTAAAATAAAATAGTAAAATCGAATTTTTGAAAATATTAATATTAAGATTCTACATTATATCTATAATAACATAGATAACATAAAGAAAACTTTCAAGAAAACATAACTTAATAGAAACATAACTTTCAAGAAAAAAGCTGAATATCTCAAGGACATTTGCGCATCTGTATTTATGCAGACGTTCTTATTTACATTTATACGGATTCTATTAACGGGCTAAATCCTGACCTATTATTCTGAAATATTTGTATGCATATAACCCGTAAGATCTGTTGAAAAGATTTTCCTACTGTTAAGACAGAGAGAGATTATAGTTAGAAGTAAACTATACTAAATAAGATTCCTTCGTCTCTTTGACTTTTTCCCTACTACAACTAATGAAAAAAGATAAGACGGGCAAAAGAAAGATTTTGCAGCCATAAATTTCCACTCACCTTCTAACGGAAGCCACGTCTCCGCGCTCGACAGCGAGAAGATATTTCTTCTCTTGAAGCGAGAGGCTGGCCATTTCCTGATGAGGTCTCACCACGTTCTCTTCCTCCATCATGCCGTGTATGCTGTGCCTCTGAAAGCGCAATAATTTCATATTATACTTCCAAATCCCCAAGACATACTCTCTCTCTCTCTCTCTCTTTATTCATACCGCTGCCATATACACTTAGCTACGGAGATTAATAATGATCGCGCGTCTCTTAAATTAAGAATGAGCGAGGAGCTTTGGGAGCAACGGCAACGGCCGCAGCGGCTGTTATGTCATCACTTCAATGCAAATGCGGATATCGTGGTGAAGAATACTCCTGGAAGATAAACAACTCTGCTAAAATCGTAATTTCCGCAAAACCGCCGGCGCAGCATTCTACGCGACGAGTAAAGTCGGTCGTATTTTTCTCCTCTCGTCCCTTTCATGCGTCTCGTTACAAAACGCTCTCGCGTGGCTGTTCTCACGTGTCGCCGTCGTCGGCGTCCGTCTCTAAATGTTTTCGTGCGCTATTTATCCGGTACATTGCGCCATTGTCGCAGCTTACACCAAACGCGCATTAAGTTACACATATTTCCAGCCGTTTCAGCGGTCCGCGTCATTCCCGCCACATCGTCGTCGTCGTCGTCGTCGTCGTCGTCGTTATTGCAGCCGCACGAATTGTCGCTCGCTATGCGACTTCATACGGCGTTCACGCGGAATCCGGATGCAGAATTTGGAGAACGAATGCATCCACATGCGAGAGTAGTTAACGAGGCGAGACCCGATAAGCTGGAAGTTCAATCGCAATCTCTCGTGGCTGTATTCAAGGAATGTATAACGCGAGTTTGCAGTTACATTCTTCGCAGCGTGCCTTACGTTACGATCGCTCACTCGTACGAATTCCTCGGCGAATCCGAGCAAGTCTCATCTTCAGTTCGATCGAAAATTAACGGGATGCTGAAGTCGATGAAGTCGAAAGAAAACATTTCGATGATGCAGATACGAGCGTCACTAACACAATCATACTATCCTTTTCGCATTTCTTATATTTACAGAACTTACGTAAATATATGTTGCTTTGTTTTACCATATTCAGCGAAAAACTTAACCTAACATATGTATAAATCTTTCTGCAAACTTTTCCGATATTCTTAAGCTTCTGAATTCAGATGCGAAGGTACAGCAATGTTCTTCAAAATTTTTCTGTTTGGAACATCAACAATTCCGATATGCTTTTGACAAGCTGAGGAACTTTTGAATAAATATTATGCTGACTGACAGCTTGAGATTTTACATTAAAATTTTTTTGTTTTTGTTTTCGTCACATATTGAGCAATGCTCCTATTTATTTTTGCACTTTCATTACGTAGAAGCATTTGTAATGCTGTACAACCAATATGATGTAAAGTTTGCAGAAAAATATCAATATTCTGTCCGTAAAGTTTTCAGCTTCAGCATCCCCTTAATCGATCTCGCCTGTTATTTCCAGCAATGTTTCTCAACGTCGGGCAATTGTATGGTTCTGTGTGAACCGGCCGATTAAAATTCCGTTAACGCGACACTCTCTTTCCCTCTCTCTCTCTCTCTCTCTCTCTCTCTCTCTCTCTCTCTCTCTCTCTCTC